TTCTTGTCTCAGAAAAGACCGTGAAAGTGGTGAGGAAAAGTTTCTTTAGGTTTCTTTCTCCTAGGCTTATTAGCATTTTCTCTGCTGGGATTTTGTTCCCTAGAAGTTTACCTTTTGTTCATACAAGTGTAGGAACATTTCTAGAGACTTGACTGTGTTTCAACTACTTCATTGTCCTCAGAAAAAACTCTGGGCAAAGGCATCTTGCATAGTGGTCTAGCGAGCTACTGGTGGTGACAAAATGAGCACGGATTTGTTGCTTACGGCAGCAGCACTTGAGCAATGGAAAAATCACACTGGTAGCAGCAGCTCTTGCCGCAGAGGAAAGCACGGAGTGAGTTTGCTACTTATAGGTTGGGAGCAAGTGGGACACACTGGCGCCTTTCCCGTGCTTGCTCCCCTTTTGGCAGCAGCAGGAAAAGCAAGCCCAGCTCTTCACGTCGAATCTTCCCTCTACTCCTCCCCTTTCTGTTGTAGAAGTAGCAAGGCACTACATCTTATTCTTGGGCAGAAAAATGTAGGTGTTTTTGTGCTGCTGATTAGTCTTTGAGATGGCCTACCTTACCGTGGCTTTCAAACCATAAGCAACACCTCTTCATCATGGCAGTCTTGTTGGAGTAGAGCTGCTCGTGGCAACGGTAAGAACTTGTAAGAAAAGAGTTAAAAAAAGTTACAGCAATTCTCTAGAAATTCCAAGCCAAATGAGATTACGTATCTGGATGGTTTTGAGGAACATGTCTTTCAATCTTTTTCTATTATCAACATAGCCACACAGAATTAACTATATGTTCTAAAAGCAAAGTGAGTGAAAATAAGGACCCTATTGTCATGGAAACTATGAAGCCAACTACTGCAAATACTTTATGGTTTTAAAGGTGGGTTGTAGGCAAGCACTTCTGAAACGTTACTTAAATATGGCTTGCCGGTAACTAAAAGCCAACACATAAGCTGTCTATGAACTTGAGTCTATAGTCTTAGTGACTTTGTGGTAACTCTTGATCACAACAGTATCTTGTGACAGATGATGTTTGGAGTTTGTCTTTGATCAGGTTTGTTTTGATGCTAAGCATTCCTGTAGCCCAAGACTACCAGTCTGTATATCAGTATATAAAACATCTATACACGTAATGAAAAAAAAATATATAAACCCAGTAAATATCTATATCCTTTGCTTAGAGCAGTGGTGTTCAAAATTCTGGTATATAGCATTGGCATTATTTTGGTGTTCCATACATTATCCTAAAGATCTGTTTTATGACTCAACATGAAAATTTTTCCTCTCCCTTGAAAGGAATTAATTATTTTGCTGTAAATGACACTGTGCAAATGGGATCTCATGCTGGCTGCACTGTAAGAGTAATTTTGACTGCCATGACCTTCACTGTGTAACAGAATGGAAATGCAAGCTTCAGTTAATACCTATTTGTCACATCTGTAAAAGCCTAACTGTAGCTTGACTTTTTAAACTTTATTTTAGGCATCCTGCACAGATGGGAAACTATTTAATCACTTGGAAACAGTGTGGCGTTTCAGCCCAGGTATCCCTGGTTACCCAAGGACATGTACACTGGATTTTTCAGTAAGTATTGTAATTAAGACTACCCCATGCTAGGAGCAGGGCATAGAAACAGTATCTTCAACTGTGCTTTTTTTTTAAATGCCTGGTACTTTTTTTTTTTAAAAAAAACACATGCACATGGAAAACAAGTTAGTTTTAGTCACTAATACCCCAAAAAGTTTTGCAAACTTTACCACGTGGAAACCACTACAGTGTCCTTTAGAGACAGCAGTCTTCTGTGAGGTATCCACATATCATGAAACAGTCTAGGGATTGGTATCTCTCACGAGACATGCTGAAGTTTTTAGACAGTCAAATACAGAGGGAGAAATACTAAACACACTTTGCTATTTCCTTTAATTACTCTACAGTAATTACAGTGTAATTAAATACCTAAGTGCTTGTGGTACCAGGAAGTAGGTGTTCTCCCATCTGTGCTGTTTTGCCTGCAGTTTGGTCAATTTGATTTCCTGGCTTCCAATTTTACACTTTAATGTATTTTAAGTCTTACTCCTTCCTTCGACAATACAGGTATAATAGATTTTTGCTGTCTTTCCACTCGATGATGGGATACCACTGCAGCTCAAAACTGTTGCGCTTTAAATCAGGTGTCTGATCTAGCCTGTTACTCCTAGACAAGTTGTTTTCCACTCAAGTTATTGTTTTTCCATTTTGTTTATTTAGTTTGTCATCACATTTTTTTCTTACATTTTATAGTGTTAAGAGTAGGTGTTGCATTGAGCATGTAGCTAAGCTGGAGTTCAGAACAGGCTACAAAAGTACACAGAAGTGGGCTGATCTTGCTGCCATCTACTGGGATACTCTGCTTTAAAAACTATCTTGTGTAAATAAGAAGAAGAGCTTTTGGAGTATTTGTGAACTAGCACATTAATCTCCTCGGATTAATAAATTTCAGTTTATTGCTGTATTGTGCTTCATACAGTTTAACAGTAAAATTAGTTTATAGGCACTCAAAGAAATATATTTCTCATGGGATTTGCCAATGATGTTTGCATATTATTTGCTCATGGTATTTGAATTTCTCCAGGCAACTAAGTGCCAGTTCGTGGTACTGACCAGCACATAAGCTAGCTTTTAAGCCAAGCCATAAATTAGTTGAGACAACTTGAATTAAGCAAGTGTTTAAACTCTATAATTTAAATACTGAGTCTGTGCAGAAAACTCCCTCTCCCCACCCCCCCATACCAAAGCCACCTTTTGATGTTTCAGGTCAAACTTCAGTTAAAGGGGGTCAAAACTGGCCTTAAAATAAGACCTTTTCACTTTCTTGGGAAAACATTATCGATACTTCTTACTGCTTACCCCAGTTGGAGGTAGCAGAAGCCAACGTAGCCAGCTGAGCAGGGCCGAGCAAGGTGACTTGCCTCACAAAGGCGAGTCCTTAAGGACTGTAACCCTTGCTAGTTACAGATCTGGCATTTTGCTTGCCTCTGGGCCTGTGCAGATAGGGAGAATTGTGCATTTCACAACAAATGTCTCAAAACACATTGTGCAATTACAAATATTAGAGAGAAAACTTTGATTTTAAGAATGCTTGTTTGCTTTAGAAAATGTAAGTTGAGTTTTGGGTTATGCTGGTTCGCACAAGCTACTGCATCACTGGTTTGCCAGCCTGGTGGAGATAGAAGCACAACACCATTTTTGCCACCTGCAAACTCTAAATGTGTACTCTACCTCCAGTTGTTATGTAGTTACTGAACACAATGCCAAACTCATCATCCCCGCTCTGCAGAACTCTACGTGCCCTAAATGACAACTCCCAGACTTTCAAAAGGGACGTTAATTTTACTGATGCTTGAGATCAAGCAAATGTAAAGGAAGCTATACTCAGCTTACAGTCCAAGTAGTTTAATTACTTGTATGCTACTGTTTCCAGGTAATACGTGTTACTGGTAAGCAACTTGAGAGAAGCCGTGTTGGTGCCATTTGGTGCTTAATCTGCCACTTTCTCAGGAATGACAAAAGTACTTAAATCTCAATCCAAAAAAGACATGCATTAGCAGGAGTAATAAAATCACAGAAAAGCAACCTGTTTCTTTTCCTGAAAATTCTGTAATCATTTTGGGAAGCTGTGTACTCCAAAACAGTGCAATTCCATAGCCTTAGGAGAACACCATTTAACTAAACCAAAGGCCAGCACAGCACAAAAGGCTCTTTGATGTCAAAGTGACCTTTTCTTTTGAGGGTGGAGAGAGAAAGTGAACTCCCTGCGCTCCTGCCATAACCGTAAACTGCTGCTGTAGCTTCAGTTTCACTGCAAGACTCAGCAGCAAAGAGAAAACATATCAGTGAAGTTTGGAGCACTGCAACAGGCCCACGGGCGTGGAACAGAGGCCTTAACCAGTGTGCCCGTACTCTGACACTGCCTGTCCCTGTCAGGACAGCAAAGGTTGGGAGTGGGAGGTGGACAGGTAGCAGACATGGCACACAGAGCCAAATTCATAGCTTTAGTTAGTAAACGGCTCTTGTTTGAACGTGCCATAGCTACAGCTACCAAGACAGGAAGACTGATTTGAAATGCTGGTATTTAAGAGCCAGCTATTTCGAGCTGCTTTTAAATGCCTCTTGGGTTTGCTCCAGCTTACCTGTAAGTCTGCTGTCTTGCCATGCAGGATTTTCTTCAGCCAGCTTTTGTCCCCCAAGTGGGTTCTGTGCACAAAGTAACCGAGTTACTGCTTGTCGATAGTTTTTCATTATCTCCAATCTTGTGTTTTGTGATGCACCATTTATTAAGTAAAATAGTTTAGATAAATGGAAATAATTACTTCAGAGAACTGAACAAAAACACTCTTTTAACTGAAGAGCCCAGGGAGACTGTCCTCTGACCAAGGAACAAGGCTTTTCTTGAGATGCTCACCTGTAGCTCAGTTTTAACTGTTCTTTCTCCCACAGCTTACTTGCAGACTGAATGAAGTTGTCTATTTGTAACAGCATTTTACCACAACAGCAGATACAAGAAAAACAATTACTCCCTCTTTTCTTCAACAGGTTTCTTTTGAATTTCGTTCACTTCTACACTCAAAACTCGCTACGCTATTTTTTGATGAAGTGGTAAAGCAGATGGTAGCTGCCTTTGAAAGAAGAGCATCCAAACTCCACGGCCCAGAAACAAACATACCTCGGGAGCTAATGCTTCATGAAGTTCATCAGACATAAAAGGAAAAAGATTCTAACAGCCCCTGTTACAAACTTGTTTGTACACTTCATTTGTACAAGAGGTGCCATGCTCCTCCTTGGGGCATCTGTTTTGTGTCTGAGCTTTGTGTGGGATTTTATACTGTACAAAACACACCCGTCCAGCCAGATGTACACCCAACGTTCAAGCTGCAATCAATCAAGTACAACTTCAAGTGTTACCAGTAACAGACAATGGGCAGCTACTGTTAACACAAGGTATCTCAGGCTGCTGTTTATTAACTTGCCAAACGGTTTGTGTAATCACGGTGTAGGTTCTGCCTTATCTAAGCTTATGTTTTTTTTCAGCGTTCTAACATATTAACTCAAGTGTAAGTTATTAGTAGTGTGAATGTAACTTAACAGCATCAACTTGGCCAACTCTGGCCGAGCGCAGGGAAGCTGACATCCTGGCTTTGGGGAGCCGGAACAATTTGCCAAGCACGGAGGAGCAGGTGCTTTTAACCTAAATTAATGGCAAAAGCCTCCAGCTGCTGTTGAACTCTGACCAGCAACTGCTGTAGAAAAACCACCACAGCCTGAAGAGACATGAAACGTAAGGGGCACGTGCATAGTGTACAGAGTAGTATAATCTGAGCACAGCAGTTGCAGCTATAGCCAGTGGTTCTTCGTGCCTGCCTGTCCCTCCCTCGCTGTTACACATTGCAGTAGAGACAACTACTTTAAACCAAGTAGTCTTTGGGAACTGGGGCATGGATGCACAATGTTATGTACTGCGGTGCTCTCCTCCCTGGAAGGAGGGAACAAGATGTCCTACCCTTACTGCAGACAAGCACACCCAAGGCCAGCTGTCATTAAAAACATACAACAGAACTAAACCTTACTTCTTGGGACTTTCTCAGTGCCATCCTACCATTTTGTTAGTCCATTACAATGGTATCAGCTGTATTGATTGAATTAATTGTCAGTAGTTCTATTCCTGACATTAGTATTTCTCTTTTTCTGCAGAAATGTAAGTGAATAGGTTTGAACAGATTTTAAATCACGTCTCTATGCTGCCTTGCATCACCTGCTTTCCTTACCGAAATTAGGTGAAGCTTCAGGCCAGGTGTTGAAGCTGGTCCTTTCTCCCAAGTGCCTATAATCCACATGGTTACTACGGAACAGCATACTAAATAGCATAGGAAGGTGTGATTCAGGACAAGGACAGCCATGAAGCAGTCCCAGACCCTTTAGATACTTTTCCAGAAAGAACAGTTGAGATTTCACACATCCTGTGTGAAAAGTAGTTCTTACTAAAGGCAGGAAGCTGGGAAAAGTGACAGCTGGATTAGGAGGTCAGTTTTAAAGCACTGAGAAGTTGTAAAGCAATTTCTTACATTGAGACAGAGATAAACATACAGAAGTTTGGGAGCACCATTGTTCTGAAGTTTGGAGAGCAGAGCTGAAACGCAGGCAGAAAAGACTTTATAGTCAATGGTATTAGCTGTGCCAGGTCAAAGAACTGTAGGTAGCAAACAAAGCTGTCATTTTTAAGGGTGAAGAAGCATCTAGTGGAAAATGACTTGAACTAAATCCTGGAGCCCACTACCAGGAAGGTGGAAGACAGGCCTGGAAGGCTCAAGGCAAGGAGGTAACCACATACTACACACCTGAGCAAGAGCAGCATTTAGCAAAGAGGACTCACCTGCGTCACACCCTCAGGGCACCTTCCCTCCCACAGGACTGTGAGAGGTGGACTGGGCCCATTCCTGCCCAGGAAACCAGCAGCACAGACAGGGCAAATGAAGGTCAGTGCACGTGCCTTGTTTTCATAGCATTGTTTAATATAGCAGAGAACTGTGGTGTCTGTTCAGCTTAGATACTTCTTAGCAAAATTCAAGTCACTTGTATTTCCCAGAAACATTCTGGACAGCGGAATGTTTCCTGGAGGGAAATGCCCCAACATTTCCAAGCCTTCAGTGTCAAATTTCTAGTAGATCTTAGAAGCAGCAGCAGGCTGTCAAGGTTCCCCTATGACTACAGCTTTGTGTGCACATGAATAAGGTGATACATTTTGTAACTTTTGAGCAGTTTGTTTTATTACATAAAGGTCACATAACTGTATATTTGCCTACTTTGTACACAATTGTCTGGTCTTACACACAGTGGCTTCCAAGTTCTTCCTAGTACTGGCAAGCACCAATAAATTCTGAAACAGAATATCAAGTGCCTTAATTAAGTTTAAATCAGGACCTTGGTAGATGGATCTTGCACCCAGTTATCAGGAATGTACAAATGTCTTTATTCAAAAAATACAAAATAAATTATCTGTAGGCATGGACAATGACTGTAAACAATTACACGTGTGTTAAATGAAATCCAGTAACTGATGGTTACAGTGATTCTTTTAAACACCAGTCTCACTTCAGTCACTATCCACCCTCTCACACTGACATCTGAAGTGTTTAAAGTCAGAACTGTCAGTCTTAAACAGCACAGCTCATGATGCATCCCCATCCCAGGAATTAGAACATGCCACCTCCCATGCCTCCACCCATCCCACCCATCCCTCCCATTGCCGGGTCCTTTTCTTCTTTAGGAATTTCAGTCACCACTGCTTCTGCTGTTGATAAGAGAGACGCAACACCTGCAGCATCCATCAGAGCAGTTCTCACAACCTAAAAATAGGAAAGAACTTAATACCTGCCGACTATCACATGAGGAAGGAAAGCTGGGAATTAAAGACTATTTTAGGTTACCTTTGTCGGGTCTATGATTCCTTTTTCTACCATATTCACAAAGTCCCCAAGCATTGCATCATAGCCAACTTCTGATGGACTCTGCAGGATTTTTTCAACTATTAGCGATCCTTCAACACCAGCATTCTTTGCAATAGTCATGGCTGGGATTTTCAGTGTTCTCTTTATTATTTCAATGCCTGTAAGAAAAAGGGTGTTTAGAATTACATATGCTGCTTCTACTGCCAAGGCTGGAGATCAATACAAAACAGAGAGAACCCTCCGAGCAGGAACATAAGCTATGTCTTTGTCAGTTCCAGGGAGAAGAGTTCTCTGCTACTTGACATTTGTCAACAAACGAGATCATTGCAGGACATTCACAGAGGTTTTAGTTTTACTTCTGCAAAAAGCAGTGAGGAGCATCATTACTGTAGCGTGGCACACAGCCTTTTCCCATTGGGCTTGCCACATGATCTCTTAAGCATTCTTAGATCTTACGGCTGTCTGCAATGGCTGTAACAGTCAGCTCAACTCTCCCTCTGAGGGGCTGCGATTCTCTGCAGGGGCTACTGCTGCTTTATCGATACTGGTTCTTTCTCATCCAAGTCAGGGACATGGTGAAAGCCCCTTACCACTGTAAAGCAGAGACCACCATACCAAGGGGATAGGAGGTTCTAAAGATCAAGTAACTAAAAATTCGGCAAAAGCAATTCCGTACATATCTCATAACAGCAGAACATCCATTCTTAACACTTACACACGCGTTCCAAGTAATTTACTTACCAATTTTCTGGTCTTCATTGGCTGGAGCTAAGGCATCTAATGCTGGAATGCAGCGAAGCAGCGCACAGCCACCGCCCGGAACGATGCCTTCCTCTACAGCAGCACGGGTCGCATTCAGGGCATCGGTAACTCTGTCTTTCTTCTCATTCACTTCAACGTCACTGGTGCCACCAACCTATGAGCAGCAAGTCACACGTCAAGGTCCACACAAGAGCCTAGGTGGGAGAGCGCTGCTGGCTACTGAACTGCTGCCACAAAATTAAACAGCCAACCCGAGTCGTCAACTGAAAAGTGCCGGAAAGCAAACCCAGGCTCTCCCAGACTGGCGGTGTTCTTTTGTACCTCAGCACTCAAGAAGCCTAAACACAGTTTTAGCTGGTTATTTCAAAAATAATTTGATTTGGTTCTTAATACCAAAGCGCAGCACTGAAAGAAGCCAGACTCCTCCTCCTCCAAATCAACTGCTAAGATTACGAGACAACCACATAGCAGTAATTCAGACTGGCAATAAAGGACCAATACCGCCCCTTTCCCAAGAAGTTTGACTTCTCACCTTCAATACTGCTACTCCATCAGAGAGTTTGGCCAACCGCTCATTCAGTTTCTCTTTTTCATAGTCACTTGTGGTAACTTCTAGCTGTTCGATAATTTCTTGAATACGTTTTTCAATTTGAGCCTTTTCACCCTTCCCCTTTAGAAGCATGGTGTCATCTTTTGTCACAATGACCTCTCCAACTTTACCAAAGTCATGAGCCTGAATATCTTCCACATTTAAGCTCAAACCCTCTTCTCCAAACACCTGAAACAAATCATGTGAAAAGTTGGCATTCACAGCTTCTCCATGTCAGTCTCTTATGTAAAGACAGGTAAGCACACACAGCAGGTGAACGGTGCAAAACGAGCACACTGCCGAGCCAAGCTCCTCCTTTCTCCTAACAGAGTCCAGGTGTGCGGTCACCTCCCGAACTGGCCCCCACAGAACATGGAGCTGCCAGCTTCTCATTCATGGCTGACTAACATAGCTCACCAATTCAAAATGTCTGGAAAGTAGGGTCATGTCACAGAGTCCTCCCTGTGTTTCAAGGAGTTACAAATATTGCCACTACACTGACTTTAGAACAGACTTTGCTGGTTTCTTACTTTGTGCTCCAGTTAGCTGAAACATTGCATTTTCTTTCAATAACCCCCTTTGGATCAAGTATGACGCCATGATTTTGAATGTGTACAAGAAAAAAGGCAGCATGAAGGGACACTAATCAGCACATCAACTATTTGAGAAGTTCAGTGCAACAGAAAATTAGTCAGGCTATTGCAAATATTTAAAAGAATTGTATTTGCCATACTCAAGTCTGGGTAGTTGAGAGACAAACAGTTTTATAAGGCAGCAAGAAAGCTTTATGATTTCTAAAAAACTTCCTTGAAGTTCCTCCTTCCCCTTAACAACTCAAATGCTGCAAGGAAATTGCATGGAACTCCAGCCAGTTAAAAGGGTGTATTACTCAGGGTCAGTCAGGGCTGTATCACACAGCCATTATCAGTATCTGGGTTTAAAAAAAAAAAAAGATGATTCAGAGTCACTGTTACATTTTTGAAAGAACAGGGTGCAGCCTGCAGCACAACAAATACATGCCACAGACCAATACATTCTCTTCTCCTTAAATAC